GTTTCTCCCCTACAATATAAAGTTTCTCCCCTACAATATAAAGTTTCTCCCCTACAATATAAAGTTTCTCCCCTACAATATAAAGTTTCTCCCCTACAATATAAAGTTTCTCCCCTACAATATAAAGTTTACCCCCTTTCTCCCCTACAATATAAAGTTTACCCCCTACAATATAAAGTTTCTCCCCTACAATATAAAGTTTCTCCCCTACAATATAAAGTTTACCCCCTACAATATAAAGTTTACCCCCTACAATATAAAGTTTCTCCCCTACAATATAAAGTTTACCCCCTACAATATAAAGTTTACCCCCTACAATATAAAGTTTCTCCCCTACAATATAAAGTTTACCCCCTACAATATAAAGTTTCTCCCCTACAATATAAAGTTTCTCCCCTACAATATAAAGTTTCTCCCCTACAATATAAAGTTTCTCCCCTACAATATAAAGTTTACCCCCTACAATATAAAGTTTCCCCCTACAATATAAAGTTTCTCCCCTACAATATAAAGTTTCTCCCCTACAATATAAAGTTTACCCCCTACAATATAAAGTTTCTCCCCTACAATATAAAGTTTCTCCCCTACAATATAAAGTTTCTCCCCTACAATATAAAGTTTACCCCCTACAATATAAAGTTTCTCCCCTACAATATAAAGTTTCTCCCCTACAATATAAAGTTTACCCCCTACAATATAAAGTTTCTCCCCTACAATATAAAGTTTCCCCCCTACAATATAAAGTTTCTCCCCTACAATATAAAGTTTCTCCCCTACAATATAAAGTTTCTCCCCTACAATATAAAGTTTATCCCCTACAATATAAAGTTTCTCCCCTACAATATAAAGTTTATCCCCTACAATATAAAGTTTCTCCCCTACAATATAAAGTTTCTCCCCTACAATATAAAGTTTCTCCCCTACAATATAAAGTTTACCCCCTACAATATAAAGTTTCTCCCCTACAATATAAAGTTTCTCCCCTACAATATAAAGTTTCTCCCCTACAATATAAAGTTTCTCCCCTACAATATAAAGTTTCTCCCCTACAATATAAAGTTTATCCCCTACAATATAAAGTTTCTCCCCTACAATATAAAGTTTCCCCCCTACAATATAAAGTTTAT